CTGGAGTTCTCTGGATCTGTAAAGCTGTTTTCCCTCCAGAATGTCCCTGGAATTTCCTGGACTTCAGTTTCCCTGGATGGTCTTAAGAAATGAAGCTTTTGTGCAGGTGAAGCTTGTCCACGTCCTCTAACTTAGCTTTCTTCACTAAGACTAACTAAAAATGGCTCCCTCTTCCCTTCCCATCTCCCTGGGAGAAGGGGCGGATCTTGTCCACGAGGGACAGGCAACTGTCTTCATTAACTGTTCCTTTACTTTAGAGGAAAACCATTTTTTAACCTCTTCCAGGTTGATTATAATCTAATCCTTACTGATGTGGGTCCTTCTACCGGATTCAAACTGCATCTTGAGCCCCGAGTAGACCTACCAGTAAAGGCTTGCAGATTCTCCAGCTGGAGTTCTCTGGGTCTGTAAAGCTGTTTTCCCTCCAGAATATCCCTGGAATTTCCTGGACTTCAGTTTCCCTGGATGGTCTTAAGAAATGAAGCTTTTGTGCAGGTGAAGCTTGTCCGCGTCCTCTAACTTAGCTTTCTTCACTAAGACTAACTAAAAATGGCTCCCTCCCTTCCCATCTCCCTGGGAGAAGGGGCGGATCCAAACTTAACCATGATAGACAAGTGGCTTGCCCTATGACTGCAAACCAAAGGAAGTCACCTTTTTGCAGAATCCCTGCATGCAAACACTTAATAGAAAGAAAATAAAGTTGGAGCTCCTGGTACAGACGTACCAGCACAGGTCTAGATCTAAAACTTGCAAAAGTGACATTTTTTGGATTTAATATCCCAGAATCCCCAGGTAACTTGGCAATTAGGAGCTACGCTTGAAGTCATTCTTTCCTTCCTCTCGCCACACATGCACACTTTTCCAAGCTCTGTCTAGAACTCTTCTATCAAACCCACACACCACCTGTTCACTAGTTCTGGGTTACAGCTCTGCGCTAAAGAAGGATACAATTGGTCTGGGCTCTGTCGACATTACCACAGCTTGTGTGCATTTTAAAACAGTGTCCAAGGAGAGAATGCTGGCATGGGTAGTTGGCAGGCTTCACTTGGCAAAGGTGAGGCACATGGCTTGGGAGTCGCAGTGCATCCCTCCAGAGCATATGGCAAGGCTGGCTCCCGTGGGGCATACACCGGATAGCAGAGGGAGCCGCTGGCAAGACTGGGTGCCGATTCCTGCGTGGGAGCTGCTAGTTCCTGCTGCCCTTAAATTTGAGGCAAGATTTGATAGAGGAAAAGAATTATTTAATACTAATGATGTGTCTTCTGTGGAAAGCAGTGGGTCAGTTGTTAGAAATAAGACATAAAATATTGTCTTGGTTGCTGACGTAAGTATGGAGTGCCATTAGCAACTCAAAGGAGTAGAGATCTTAGTTTTCTGGTTTTCTTCTTTTATTTATTTTATTTATTTATTTCAAAGTTTTATATACCGAGCTTCTCACCTCATAAGAGGGACTCAGCCTGGTTTCCAACCATAAAAACGCATACAATCGGTAAAATATCAAAATACACATTACAATAAAACATTAAAAAAACACATATATTTAAAACTACAGTGGTCAGTCATCATACTAAAATCGAATATACACCGTCTTCCATCCAGATCATTGTCTCATTCTTCGAAGGCCTGTCTCCATAACCACGACTTCACCTGTTTCCTGAATGTCAGGATTGTTGGGGCGGTTCTAACCTCTGGCGGGAGAGAGTTCCAGAGTCGCGGGGCCACTACCGGGAAGGCCCTGTCCCTCGTCCCCACCAGCCGCACTTGTGAGGCTGGCGGGACCGAGAGCAGGGCCACTCCAGACTATCTTCGTAATCTTGATGGTTCATAGGGGTAACCGGATATATTAATGACTAGCTTGGGGACCCGACGGTGCCCTAGTTATTTGAGAAAGGCATTGTTTGTTTTTCAAAGTTTGGTGATAGCAGTTTGGTAATGTATAACAATATTAGAAAAAAGCAAGTCTTTCCTTTTCTTTTTTATGAATGCTCCCATAAGAAAAGACATAAGGATGTGGGTGAACTACAATTCACAGAATCGTGGGTCAATTCTTCCCAAGCCTTGCCATTATTCAAAGTTGGCCATGTTGAGTCTGTGTGCCAAGTTTTGTCTGGATCCGATATCAGCCCGGTTCAGTGCTCTCTGATAAGGGTGAACTACAACTCCCAGATTCCAAGGGCAATCACTCCCAAACCCTGCCAAGTATTTGCATGTTGGTTCTGTTCCAAGTTTGGTCCAGATCCGTCGTTGGCTGGGTTCAGTGTTCTCTGGATAAGGATGAAGTACAACAATAAGGGTGAACTGCAACTCACAGATTCCCAAGGCAAACCCAAACCCAGCCAGTATTCACCATTGCCCATGTTGGGTCTGTGTGCCAAGGTTGGTCCAGATCGATTGGATGGGTTTACATTGCTGTCTGGATGTAGGTGAACTACAACTCCTCTCAAACATGGTGAATTCTTCCCAAACCACTTGTTCAGTTGCTTATCAATTCCTGTTTGCTATGTGTCATAAGAATGGATAGGAAAGGGTTAAGTGAGAGGCAGTGGGCAGGGTCATACAAATTTGGAGAGAGAAAGGAACCCTGGGATGTCAATTCTGGAGAAAAAAACAGAACATCTAGAATGCAATGATCTCCGAATGAAGGCATTCCTTGGGTGGTTGGGGAGGTCATTGGCAAGGATTGGGCTACATATTCACGGTGTTCACTATATAACCAGCAGTGTCAGTGGAAGGAGTGCCTTTGGAGGCTTCTCAGCACTTGGAACTATAACCTGTTTGTGGAGACGGGGGGCTGTCTGTGTAAGTGGACACCTCCCTCACATACACGTACACACAGTTTCACTTTTAATATGTGTATAGATAGAGATAGTGAGATAGTAATCTCAACCAAAGAATACAATCAATACATTTTAAAATTTAAATATTTTAGTACTTAAAAATTGCTTCTGGGTGTCCCTTTGGTTGTTACTGCTTGTCTCAGAGAAAAAATGCACAATTTCAATCTGTGTTATAGCGACAATTTTTATGCTTATATTTTGTTTTGTTAATCTTATGGTTGTGTTGTTTTTACTTTATATGTTCTGTGATGTTACCTGGGAACCGCTCTGACTCCCCTCGGGGAGATGGAGCGGTATATAAATAATTTTAATTTTATTTATTATTATTCAAGAATGGTGCTTGTGTTATTTTTATAAATTATGCAATATTGAGAAATGTGATAAACGTTGTCCCACAGTCAGAATGTATCTTTCATAGAATCATAGAATCAAAGAGTTGGAAGAGACCTCATGGGCCATCCAGTTCAACTCCCTGCCAAGAAGCAGGAATATTGCATTCAAATCACCCCTGACAGATGGCCATCCAGCCTCTGTTTAAAGCCTCCAAAGAAGGAGCCTCCACCACACTCCGGGGCAGAGAGTTCCACTGCTGAACAGCTCTCACAGTCAGGAAGTTCTTCCTCATGTTCAGATGGAATCTCCTTCTTGTAGTTTGAAGCCATTGTTCCGCGTCCTAGTCTCCAAGGAAGCAGAAAACAAGCTTGCTCCCTCCTCCCTGTGGCTTCCTCTCACATATTTATACATGGCTATCATATCTCCTCTCAGCCTTCTCTTCTTCAGGCTAAACATGCCCAGCTCCTTACGCCGCTCCTCATAGGGCTTGTTCTCCAGACCCTTGATCATTTTAGTCGCCTTCCTCTGGACACATTCCAGCTTGTCAATATCTCTCTTGAATTGTCAATATCTCTCTCGATTCCACCTGCGTTACAAATATGTTTCGCGGGGACGAGAGACAGGGCCTTCTCAGTGGTGGCCCCTCGGCTATGGAATGCCCTTCCTAAAGACATTATTATATATTATTATTATAACTTTATTTGTACCCCGCTAGCATCTCCCAAGGGATTCGATGCGGCTTACAACAGGCCGGAGCCCAACACAATACAACAATACAATACATAGCAAATAAAAACAGTTAAAGCAGAAAACAACAGCAATAGCAATACAACAGGACATTATTAAAAACTGAGCCGGCCGGAGTAGGGTACAGGATTAAAAAGTGCTGAAGTGTCGGAGGGATATGGGATTAAAATATAAGTGCAGTGTGCGGTGAGGGTGATCTTGACTCTACTAAAGTGCTTCTGGGCTTTGGTAGTGGGGTTCCTAATCTGAGAAGGCACGTTGGAACAGCCAGGTTTTCAGGTTCTTTCTGAAAACCGCCAAGGTAGGGGCCTGTCTGAGATCTTTCGGGAGGGCATTCCAGAGGCAGGGGGGCCACCACAGAGAAGGCCCTGTCCCGCGTCCCCACCAAACATTGGATTGGCCCCTTCCCTTTTAACACTCTGGGAAAAAGTCAAAACTTGGCTTTTTGAGCAAGTGTTTGAAAATGCAGTGTAACAGACATAGGAACATGGATCAACTGGATGATGAGATTGGACAAAGTTTTAACTAGGAGACACAAATGATTTATGTCTTATTGATCTTGTTATGGTTTTATATTATATGTTAATGTTTTTAAATGTTTTAAATGTTTTTGTGGTGTCTTACTGATCTTGTTATGGTTTTATATTATATGTTAATGTTTTTAAATGTTTTTATGGTGTTGTTGGGCATTGAATTGTTGCCTCTGTAAGCCACCTTGAGTCGCCTGCAGACTGAGAAGGGCGGTATACAAATATAGTATATAAATAAATTCAGTTTATTAAGTAATCCAGTGGTTTAAAGCCACTGTACGTTGTAGGGATAGGCATGTTTCTATTTGTGATAAGTCCAATTTTTTTGCAAGTGTAGGAAAGTCATTAGCTTTACCAAAAAAAAAAGTCCCATGAAATATGCTTTTTGAACATTTGTTGTATATTTTCTAATTTTCATCCCTTGGGCAGAAAATTAGAAAAATTAGAAAATTGGAAAAAAAGCGCAGTTTTTTCTGCGATTGCCATCCTCGCCTTTCTATAGCATTTCTGAGCTCCTTCAAGCAGATCTTCAGACTCCTTTTCTTTCTTCTAGTCTTGAGAGATGACTTCCGGCAGGCTCCTAGTGATGTGGTCGTGGCAGCCGGAGAGCCAGCTGTGATGGAGTGCATTCCACCAAGAGGACATCCGGAGCCCACCATTTCCTGGAAAAAGAACAACGTCCGCATCAGTGATAAAGATGAACGCATTACGGTATGGCCAAAGACAAATGTGTGCCTCTTTAGCATCTGTAATATGTCTATGTTCAGGACCAAATTAGAAATTCAATAGCTTCTCACGAAGGCCCCATCTATACTGCCATGTAAAATCCAGATTATCTACTTTGAACTGGATTATATGGCAGTGTAAACTCATATAATCCAGTTCAAATCAGATAATCTGGGTTTTATATGGCAGTGTAGATGGGGCCTTAGCGGTGTAGCTGCATAGAGAGATAGGGATGAGAGTGGCTCAAATTTCTCGCCTTGCAGTAGTCTAATATTCAGTCGATCCCCTTACAGATAAGAGGAATTTTAGACTGATTTTAACCTTTAATGTTTAATTATAAGTTATAAGTTTATGGTTATTATTTTGTTTTTGTTTTTTGTTTTGTTTTATTCGGAGGTGTTTGTATTCACTTATGGGCACTGAATGTTTGCCTTTTTTGTTTGTAAACCACACTGAGTCCCCTTGGAGACAGAGGGCAGTCTATAAATAAAGTTTTATTACTACTACTAGCCGTCCCCTGCCACACGTTGCTGTAGCCCACTCTGGTGGTCATGGGGGTTCTGTGTGTGAGGTTTGGCCCAATTCTATCATTGGTGGGGTTCAGAATGCTCTGTGATTGCAGGTGAACTACAAATCCCAGCAACTACAACTCCCAAATGTCAAGATTCTATTTTCCCCAAACTCCACCAGTGTTCACATTTGGGCATATTGTGTATTCGTGTAGAGTTTGGTCCAGATCCATCATTGTTTGAGTCCACAGTGCTCTGTGGATGTAGGTGAACTACAACTCCAAAACCAAAGGACACTGCCCACCAAATCCTTCCAGTATTTTCTCTTGGTCATGGGCGTTGTGTGTGCCAAGTCTGGTTCAATTCCATTGTTGGTGGAGTTCAGAATGCTCTTTGATTGTAGGTGAACTATAAATCCCAGCAACGACAACTTCCAAATGACAAAATCAATTTTTTTTGAGTGAATGACAGACATTCGGTTGTTAGGAGTCTTGTGACCAAATTTGGTGTCAATTCGTCCAGTGGTTTTTGAGTTCTGTTAATCCCACAAACGAACATTACATTTTTATTTATATAGACTCCTATTATTATTATTATTATTATTATTATTATTATTGAAGGTTTTTGGGGACTGTTGAACCTCTATTACTTGTTTGGTTATGTTTTTTAATTATGTGTATGTCTGTTTTTAAATATGATGTGAGCCGCCTTGGGTCTGTCCTGGTTAAAAGCAGCATAGAAATCTCCATAATAATAGCAAAAATAATTTTCCGTGCAGAAGACAAATTGTACAAAGATTTTTTTTCAGCACAAAGTCACATTTGAAGCACTGGTCACTGTACAAAAAAGCAAATTCATTAGCATCCTCTTCTTTAAAAACACACAAATATGTAAGTGGGGGTAAGAATGGAGGATGGATTGGATTGTTGCATAAATTTCTGATGTGATTCGATTCCCACAGAAAAATGCATTTTCTGCACAAAACAACATTTGTAAATTCTGCACAGAATAAGGCCTGAATTTCAAGTGGGCCCCCAGTGGTGCTGTGGGTTCACCCACTGAGCTTGTTGACCAAAAGGTTGCAAGTTTTAATCTGGGGAGCGACGTGAGCTCCCACTGTCAGCCCCAGCTTCTGCTAAATTAGTAGTTCGAAAACATGCAAATGTGAGTAGATCAATAGGTACCGCTTCAGCGGGAAGGTAACGGGGAGGTAACGGTACTCCATGCAGTCATGCTGGCCACATGACCTTGGAGGGTGACTAAAATGATCAAAGGTCTGGAGAACAAGCCCTGTGAGGAGCAGCTTAAGGAGGTGGACATGTTTAGCCTGAAGAAGAGAAGGCTGAGAGGAGACATGATAGCCATGTATAAATATGTGAGAGGAAGCCACAGGGAGGAGGGAGCAAGCTTGTTTTCTGCTTCCCTGGAGACTAGGACACGGAACAACGGCTTCAAACAACAAGAGAGGAGACTCCATCTGAACATGAGGAAGAACTTCCTGAGTGTGAGAGCCATTCAGCAGTGGAACTCTCTGCCCCAGAGTGTCGTGGAGGCTCCTTCTTTGGAAGCTTTTAAACAGAGGCTGGATGGCCATCTGTCAGGGGTGATTTGAATGCAAGATTCCTGCTTCTTGTCAGAATGGGGTTGGACTGGATGGCCCATGAGGTCTCTTCCAACTCGGATTCTAAGATTCTATGAGGTGTCTACTGATAGTGCCGGCTCTTTGGTTTAGAAATGGGGATGACCACCAACCCCCAGAGTCAGACACGGCTGGACTTAATGTCAGGGGAAAGCCTTTACCTTTATCTATCAAAAATCATGCAGTTTTTGAAGACTTTCTTCAGGAAGAAAATCAGTGAAGAATTCCATTTCTAATCCAATCTGTATATATAAAAATTCTCTGTGCATAATGAGTACCTTAATAAAAAAGAACCAATGCGTGAAATCACACCAAATTTGGCAACAAAACTTCTCACAACACAAGGAGTGACCATGACTCAAAAATTATGATTTTGTCATTTGGGAGTTGTAGTTGCTGGGATTTATAGTTCACCTACAATCAAAGAGCATTCTGAACTCCATCAATGATGGAATTGAACCAAACTTGGCACACAGAACTCCCATGACCAGAAAATACTGGAAGGGTTTGGTGGGCATTGACCTTGAGTTTGGGAGTTGTAGTTCACCTTACATCCAGAGAGCACTGTGGACTCAAACAATGATGGATCTGGACCAAACTTGGCACAAGCACTCAATACGCCTAAATATGAACACAGATGGAGTTTGGGGGAAATAGACATTTGGGAGTTGTAGTCACTGGGATTCACAGTTCACCTATAAAGAGCATTCTGAACCACGCAAACAACAGAATCGGGGCAAACTTCCCACACAGAACCCCATGACCATCAGAAATTACTCAAGGCTATCCAGTCCAACTCCCTTCATCAGGGCAAGAAAACTTAAGAGGAGGTTCCATCTGAACATGAGGAAGAACTTCCTGACTGTGAGAGCTGTTCAGCAGTGGAACTCTCTGCCCGGAGTGTGGTGGAGGCTCCTTCTTTGGAAGCTTTTAAACAGAGGCTGGATGGCCATCTGTCAGGGGTGATATGCAATATTCCTGCTTCTTGGCAGGGGGTTGGACTGGATGGCCCATGAGGTCTCTTCCAACTCTGTGATTCTATGATCGGGAAGTGTAGACTTGGCAGACAGACAGACAGACAGAGATAGATATGATTCACACACACACAGATATAGTATCATAGATTTGAAAGGGATCCTTAAAGAAGGACAATGATATGTTGCATGTTCCAGGGTGGGCAAACCAGACACTCTCCACATCAACTGACAAAGAAACAGCAAGAAATACTGTTTACCCACAAGTATAAAGAAATTACATATATTAGAAACCAACACTTTCTCATTACTTTATTTTCCAGCTCACTGCAACGTGTGGCAGGGGACAGCTAGTCTTACTATAAAATGTAAGCAAGATCAGCCCTGGTTAATATTTGGATGAGGGACTGCCAACAGACTAGTGCTGTAAGCTATAGTTCAGAGAAAGGTGGTGGCAAACACCTCCAGCGCTCCCTTAGCGTTTCTGAAGGTTGCTGCAGCAGTTCCTTCCTCAGCTGCTGCTTCCTGCAATTGTCAAGAGCATTATCTCCAGCTAGATACATGCCTGAGCCAGGTGCATGTCCACATGGATATCTTTAAGCAGAATTTCCTTTTGATGTTTTGCTTTAGATCCGAGGTGGGAAGCTGATGATGTCCAACACAAGGAAGAGTGATGCTGGAATGTACATCTGTGTGGCCACCAATATGGTGGGTGAACGAGACAGTGAGCCTGCAGAACTCGTGGTGTTTGGTATGTATCAAGATTTTGCCAGATTGCTAGAATGGGTTGGTGGAAACAGAGAGTTTGGAAGAGGCTTGTTACACATAGCAAGCTAAGAGGGTTGAATGAAAAGTAATGCCTCCACCTTCGGAACTCCTCAACAGATGGCAGTACTGGTATGCAGCAGGTACTGGCTTGTTCGGTAGACTCTCCTCTACAGTTCCATTTTTGCGGTACATTGGGCACTCAGTTCTTCTAAAGGAATGGGAGTATGTCTGGAAGATCGAATTAAGATATACAAGAGCCATCAATATAACTGAAAGCTGGTATAAAATATTCTACCGCTAGTATTTAACTCCTCTACAATTGTCAAAATTTTATAAAAAATGTAATAATCAATGTTGGAAATGTGGGAGGGAAATAGGAACCTACTCCCACTTATGGTGGGGATGTAAAATAATTTAAAAATATTGGACATTAATTCACAAACATACCCAAAAAAATTATTAGGGTCAAATATGACATGAAACCCGAATGTCTAGGACTGTGTGATGTATCAGCGAATAATGCAGGCAGATCCCAGTAAGGTGGCCTTTTGCAGCTGGCAGCTGGCAATTTTGTCAGCGCCGATTGTGTTTAAGTGCAGGCCAAGGTCTTTAAGCACTGCACCCAGTGTGCCAATCACCACTGGGACCACCTTGACTGGCTTGGGCCACAGTCTTTACAGTTTGATCTTTAAATCCTCATAACGTGTCAGCTTTTCCAGTTGTTTCTCTTCAATCCTGCTGTCACCTGGGATTGCAACATCAACAAT